TGGTGAAAGGATTTTGCAAAGGATGTTCAAAAATGGATGAAGTAGTGAGTGTAGTTATTGGAAGAGAAAATGGTGGCAATGAAGTACATATATTCTCAAAAGAAATAGGTAAAGAAACAGATAAGTTGATTGGTAATGTGGTTTCAACACTTGTGATAGGTGCCCCCGTATCAGATACGTTAACAACCATATCAGAAGTAGGTACCTCCTCAGAACTGATTTGGTAGTGACTACTTCAAGTGAAATTGAAGTTGTTGGAGAGACTTGCGAAATTGATGTAATTGAAACAGGTGGAATAGAAACAGTTACCGGTAAAGAAATAGGTGGAGTCTCTGGAACCACCTCTTCATTAGATGACTCATTGTGAATAACCAACTTTCATTTCTTGGACAGTGTTTGTTGGACATGTTTCGCAACATCCTGAGCTCTTTTCCTCTTTGAACCTGGAGAAACAGGAGCTGGAACACTTTGAACCGTTACCCCTTTACGGCTGACTTCTGCTTTGCGAATAGGAGAGGAGGATTTGCGAACTGTCTTTAATACCCTAGATTTTGAGGTTATAGTTTCCTTCTTCGATTTTGAAGACATTTCCTCTACCTGAACCTCTTCTTCTTGAATTTGTTTTGAAGATTGACCTGTTTCACCCTTCTTCGTGGTCTTCTTCTTCTTCGAGGTTTTGTTAGTGATTTCCAATAGAATCTCAGTCTGCATAGCGGGATCCACCGTCTTCATGTATTTAACCAAAACTTTGTGAGTGGATGAGACCTTTCTAAGCATCGCATCCAGAATGCAAGCTACATGTGTGAAAATATTTTCATCGTCTTCCACTACCTTTGCAAATTGATACAATGAAAATTCCGCAACCTCAGCACCTTCGGGGACTTCAATTCCTTCTTTTTCACATATCTTCTCAAGAATAAGGCTCCAATATCTTGCACAAGAAATTCCTTTTTCAGAGTTTGTATTTTCAAGACTCTTTACGAACTCCTTCCACAATTGAGTTCTGTAATCCACACTGATGTCATAGTATAATTCCATTACCATCGCATACACTTCCATACGCCCCCTGTCAAGACCGACTGTTCTTCCTGTCAAACACCTGAGAAAAATGTCAAATAGAAAATTCCATATACATCGTAATCCAGATTTTCGGAAATCACTGATCTTCTCACGTGCTGGTTGATGTCCCATCTCCTTGAACATAAAGATGACTTGAGAATTGATGGGTTTGAAAAATGGAGAGTTATTGGGAATGTTCAAGAACTCAATGAACATCTTCTTGTTCAAACGAACCCGCTTATTGTTCACCAGTTGAAAGGTTATAACATCAGTGGCATAGTTGTGGGATGCGTTTGATGCTGCCAAAGACAACCATGTCATCAGAACAGAGAAGGAACTAAACATGGCAGTTGCTAAAGGAGATCTTTTCAAAGCAACAATCAACATATTGAGTTCTTCTGGGTAAGATGAAACTCGAGGATCAACAAGGTAGTTTATGCTTTGGATCTTCATGAGTGATTGTGAGAGAACTTCATCAGTGTTGGATTGAGTAGCAGCCATTGTTAGGGTTTGAAGAAGAGAAAGAATCAGAGAATTTAGGAATTTTTGGTTTGATCGCGTAACCGTATAACACCTGCTTGAATCCCCTTTTATAGGTAACCCGGATCGATTTGAAATTAAAGCGGGATGCATTTAATGTTATCCGATGTGGAACCTTGAAAATCGAACCATTACTGCAAAAGTTATCCATGTATGAAAAAGCAACTATCACATCTCCTTGAAACTCATACCGAATACCATTCGTCACGTATACACAACCTGTCAATATTCCTTTGATGAATTGTAACCGTTAGAACCCTTCGCATGGAGGCAAGGCTCTTTCACTTTTGGGATATAAAGTGAAGTCATGTGCCAGATTTTGCGAAATCATCAGCCTGAGTTGGTATTACTCAGAACCTTAAGGATTTCGTGAGTGCAGTGTTCCAAAGAAATAAGATAAGAAACAAAAAAAAATTGGAATTCTGTGATGTCAAAAATTCAATTTGACACAAAGGCAGTTAAACCCCAGGAAAAGGTTGCTTCATTAATCATCAAGAGAGATGATCAACAACTTGTGTATGTTCCCGTGAATTACAATCGAATATTTTTTGATAAGTATCGAAGGGCTTCTTTTGAAAGATATTTTGGGTTGGTTTCAAATTTCATTACATATCAACCTTAACATAAGGTGAGAAATTGCAACTAAAATTACTTGTATGACCAATGTAATCAGTGACAAGTTAGCTTTTGAAAACATTTATCATGACTAGGATTTGTGAATGAAACTCACACAGAAATCATATTCATAAAAATTGTTGTACTGGATCTTGTTGGGTAACAAACATCGTGGGTTGCGAATGTTTGATCAAGATCACTCATGCGAATTAAATATGATTTGGAGTTTCGAAAGTTTGGTACTGAAACAAAAGTTTTGTTAATATCTGGAAAAAATTTCCCCATCAATTCATCAAATTTTAGAATTTTGAGTTTCACCTTCATCACGGACTCATGATGTCAGATCCTTAACACAGCATGTTTGTATATCTAAGTCTCGATGGGTTTGATCAGAGACCTCTCAGACATACGTCTTTGTGTGTGATTTGTGTAAAGAATTTTATGATGAAAAAGATTGGTTATAAGACCGAATGTACCTCTGTTATGTGTGGACCAAACAAAAAACTCTTAACTCATTTAAGAAGAGTAAGGTAGCTCTTTTGACTAATGCGAATATAAGCCTTATTGGGAAGAAATTTTCATGTGATAATTTCATCAAGGCTTTCCTTTCGTACACATATAGTCATATGAGGCTTGAGACAACATGTTGCAGCATGCTTCTAGGGATATCCTAACTAATACAAAGTTGAAAGCAATAGTACTTTCCCATAGAAACATACAAGCATGACCTCTTCGCATTAAGCACTGGACTAACTAAAAACACACAATCCTTAAAAAACAAGGTTAACAAAAAAAATATTTTTGTGATTTTTGAATTTTTCGAAAACAAGAACAAAACAAAAGAAAATATTTTTGATTTTTCAAGTTTTTCTAATTTTCAAAAATGAAAATGAATCAAAAGTAAACCTAAATTTAGTTGTTATATGTGCGGATGCGAAGAAATGTGGATGTGAAGCTATGCGCAGCCTCTGAATGAACAGTAACTTCTTAACAATTCCGATTTAGAGCTTCTGATCGGACCTTTCATCCTTGAATTATTGACTTTGAAACTAAATTCACATCAATCATTCCCAAACCTACTAAAATTCTTACAAATGATTTTTCATCAAGAGGTTTAGTAAAAATATCAGCAAGTTGTTCAGTGGTTTTAACAAAATGAATTTCAATATTCCCATCTTCCACATGATCTTTGATAAAATGATATCGAAGAGCTCTATGTTTTGTCTTTGAGTGCTGTATTGGATTATGACAAATGCGAATTGCACTTTGAGAATCACAATACAAAGGAATCTTTTTCATATTGATAGCATAATCACAAAGCTGACTCTGAATCCAAATGATTTGCGAAGTGCAAGCAACAGCTGCAATATATTCAGCCTCAGCAGTTGATATAGCAACACAAGTTTGCTTCTTTGATTGCCAACTCACCAACTTTCCATCCAACAGTTGACATCCACCACTTGTACTTTTACTATCAAAAGTACATCCTCCTAGAACTGAGTCTGAGAAGGCTTGAATGAAAAATCCCGATTTCGCAGGATACCAAAGTCCTAAAGAAATTGTTCCTTTAAGATAGCGAAAAATATTTTTCACTGCAGTTAAATGAGGTTCCCTGGGATTAGCTTGATATCTAGCACAATTACATACCGAAAACATAATATCAGGTCTACTTGCAGTTAAGTACACTAAGGACCCTATCATGCTTCGATAAAGAGTTAAATCCATAGCAGGAGTATCTAATGAATGAGTTAGTCTTGTTCCCACTGCCATTGGTACTCGCAACTTCATGTTGTTGGTCATTCCAAACTTTTCAAGCAAGTTCTTTGTGTATTTTTCTTGATTGAATAAAATTCTATCCCTGTTCTATCTTATATTCAAACCAAGAAAATTATTGATTTTTCCCATCATACTCATTTCAAATTGACTTTTCATTAGATTTTTAAATTCAAGTGACAATGTTGGGTCAGTTGAGCCAAAAATAATATCATCAACATAAATTTGAACAAGCATGAGATCATTCCCAAATTTCTTGCGAAATAATGTGGGGTCAACTGATCCTTGTTTAAATTTAGATTGTTTCAAGAAATTTGTAAGTGTTGCATACCAGGCTCTTGGTGCTTGTTTTAACCCATAAACTGCTTTGTCAAGAATGTAGACATGATCAGGATGTTCCTCATTTATAAATCCGGTGGTTGTTCAACATACACTGTTTCTTCAAGTTCTCCATTTAAGAATGTGCATTTAACATCCATTTGAAAAACGTCAAAGTTTTTGTGAGCTGCATAAGCTAAAAATATGTGAACTGCTTCGAGTCTTGCGACAGGAGCAAATGTTTCTTCATAGTCTATTCCTTCTTGTTGCGAATATCTTTTAACCACTAATCTAGCTTTATTTCGAATAATATTGCCATCTTTGTCGGTTTTATTTTTAAAGATCCATTTTAATCCGACAATTGAAACATCAGAAGGTTTAGGAATTAATCTCCAAACCTTGTTTCGTTCAAATTCAGCCAGTTAAGATTATATAGCAACAACCCAATGTGAGTGTTCCATAGAATTCTTTACTGTCTTTGGCTCTATTTTCGAAATAAAAACATTAAACATACACAATTCTTGGTTCGCATTTAGTACCTCATTTTTCGCACGAATTTGAGCTCTTGTCGACACACCATCTTGTGGATTTCCAGTTACCTGTTCTTTGGGATGATTTCTTATCCATTTCTCAAGTGGTGGAAAATCAGGATTAAATTCCAATGGTGCATCTTCATACATATCTTCATTTTCAGATCATGCAACAGAAAAATTATCATTTATTACATGAAACTCATCATTTTCATCAAGATTAATTGTCTCTATTTCATCATGCTCCCCCTTAACATGATGTTCATCTTGATGCTCCCCCTCAACATGACATTCATCTTGATGCTCCCCTTCTAAATGATATTCCTGATAATTTTGCGAATGCTCCCCATCAACTTGATGATTCATATTTTCTTTCTCCCCCTCGAAAGTTTGCTCTACCATATTAACTCCAGGCACACTTTCGCAAGTTATTGACATTGTAGTGATTGTTGAATCATCATTATGTTTTGAGGATTCTGATGTTTGATTATCAGGAGCATTCGTTTCTGCATCAATTGCCCTGTCAGGAGTTCCAAAAATTAAGTCATAATCAAAATCATTTATTTTTGAATTATCAATGTTAGTATCTGAATTAACAAGAATTGATTTATGTTCAAATTTACTATCCGTTTGTTTAAGATAGTAGTCATCAAAAGTTAAGTTGAAAGTTTCTTCAACTTTTCTTGTTCGCATGTTTAACACCCTGTATGCAACCGAATTTTGTGAATATCCTAAGAATATGCCTTCATCAGCTTTAGTTTGAAACTTGGTCAGATTGTCTTTTAGATTCATTATAAAACACCTGCAACCAAAAACATGAAAAAATTTGACATTAGGTTTTTGATTGTTGAGTATTTCATATGGAGTAACATTAATGAATGACCGATTCTAAGTAAAACAAGTAGTAGATACTGCTTCAGCCCAAAGATATTGAGGTAAGTTTGCATATGTCAACATGGTTCTGGCTGCTTCGCATAAAGACCTATTTCTTCTTTCAACAACACCATTTTGTTGTGGAGTATATGGTAAAGAGAAATTATGCGAAATACCTTTGTCTGTGAGAAAAGAGTCCAGTGTTTGATTTTTAAACTCAGAACCATTATCACTTTTAACTTTGTGAACATTCTTTTTAAGGCTAATCTCAATCTTTTTTGATAAAATCAATCATCATTTGAGCAACTTCAGATTTTAACCTGAGAAAAAAATACTCATGTGAATCTAGAAAAATCATCAATAATAACTAAAATGTACTGCTTTTTATTGATTGTTGCAACAGTCGACGGTCCACATAAGTCAATGTGAAGAAGTTCCAATGGTTTTACGATTTTTGAATCTATCACAATCGGATGACCTTTTCTATGTTGTTTTCCTTGTTCGCAAGCTGCACATAAAGTATCATTGTCAAATTTTAGTATAGGTAAACCTCTAACTAAATCTTCAGTGACAAGTTTGTTAATTTTGCGAAAATTCAAATGAGACAATCTTCGATGCCAAAGCCAGCTAATATCATTAGATGCCTTTGACAGTAAACACACAGCAGGTTTGCCCACGATTGGTTTGATATCCAGTGTAAACATATCACCATATCTTTTGGATTGAAGAAGTACTTCATTTGTTTTCGCATTTGAAATGATACTTCCTTCTTCATTAAACATAACTTGATTTCCAGTACCTATAACAAGTTGCGAAACACTAATCAAGTTATGTTGAAGACCTTCAACATAAGCAACCCTGTTAACAGTGAATTGTCCATTCGTGAATTTTCCATAACCTTTCACTTGACACTTGTGATTATTTCCAAATTTGACTACTCTAGCATTTTCCAAGCTTCTATAATCTCGCAAGTTTTCCTTTATTCTAGTCATGTGACGAGAGCAACCACTATCAATATACCATTTTGCATCATATTGCTCGTTACACATCACCTGCATTTATTGAAAAACTTTAGGAACCGAAGACTTATTGGGTCCTATATTAGTAGTTTTGAACAAATGCTTTGAATTTAAAAACCATGATTTCACTTTGTTTGTTACACTGTCAATTATATCAACATCATCAAATCGAGATATTGAAATATAGTCATTCGACAGATTTGAATTTTCATTGAGTTTCATCTCATCTTTCACAACATTCGTAACTTTGATAACTGGTTTCCATTTTTGTACTAGAACTTGTGAATTATAAGATGATGAACTAGCATTAGAAGAGTGATTTGCGAACTTGTCAAATGCATTCTTTATTTATTGCTCTGAAAACTTTCCATTTTGATATTGTCTTCCTTTCCCTTCAAGCCAACGATTGATCATACTTACATCAGATTTCCCTTTTGTATACGAAACTTTGGTCGGTTTTGAAATTGAAGGATTTGGAAAATTTGGTTGATTAGGTGTAAATTTCATTTTGGTTTGATTGGTGACATTCAAAGTTGATGAATTATTCGTAAATTTATCAACATTAAGAAACTTTTGATGGTTCACAAGTTTTTGCAAAGTCTCAAATTTTCGATTGTTGTCATATTTGCGAACAAATTTATCATTATTTGTCATTGGAATTTTGTCAACAGAATATATTGGTTTGTGAAAACTTGTATCTTTTTGTTTATCCATTCTTCGAAATTTTGATGATTTTGACTTTGAAATATGTTCTTTTTCAACTTTTGATTTGTCATTGGACACAACTTGCCAAAAAATTTCTTTTCTTGCTTTTCTTTTGGAAACATTATTTTCTGTTGAATAATTTCCAACCATCAATTTAAATTCATGAGAATTTAATTTCACTTCAATCTTTGGTTTTGAAACATTCTCAAAAACTTTGTTTGGTTTTTCCTTTTTAACCACCCATTTTTGTGATGATTTTTGATTTCGATGAACATAAGAATTTTGAGTCAAATTGTTTTCTACAGTATTTTCATTTGCGAAGAAACCTTCAGTAGTTGACCTTTGATTATTATTTTCAACAATTTTGTTGAATTCAGGATTAATTTTCTCAGGATTCCCAGTAGTGTCAAATACTTGATTTGGAAAAATTGTTTTGTCTGTGCATATAAAATTTGGATAAACCACAGTGTTGGTTTCCAAATAATGTGCACCTTTGTCACTTAGAATTTTGTCGAATCCTTTTGTATCACCAAATACTTGATCAACCACAACTCGTGGAGGTATTTCATGTGAATCCTTCACATCTTGTTTGTTTTCATCAGTGTCATCAGATTTCCAGCTTTCAACTTCCACATTATCAAAATTACAATGTTGCGAAGTAGAGGGTTTTTCAATGTCATTTTTGACTATCGAATCAACTAAAACTTCTTTACCTTTTATCTTAGATGTGATATTAATGATTGATAATTGTGAACAATCAACCTCTTCTTCCTCTTCAATCTCACTGATTTCACTCACATTATCTGAATTGTCATCGACATCAGTATAATTGAGTTGAGAATCAAGAGTTGAGGTTTCAGTTTTCTTTAAAATTTTCACTTGTTCATTCTTTGTCAAACTTCCATTGACAATACTAACCAACTCATCAGCATTCAAGTATTCATCAATTTTGACAATACCATATGCAAATCTATCATCACGTATTTTGTCAAATTAAGCAATTGTGTTTTCGCAATCATAAGACACAACATAAACTTTTTCACGATCATATTAAAGAAAAGGTAAAAGTTTCCTATGTTGTTCTTTGCTAATGTCAAATGAATGATGTAAAGTAGTTAATTTTGCATACAAACGTTTAGCAAAGTTACAATATATGTTTCTTTGTGCTAGTAACAACCTAACTTCATTTCCAAGATTGTCCCTATCATAATTTACGTTTTTGATTTTCATTTCAAGTTTGTCTACTCTGCTTCATTTTATTTCTAACTCTCTTCGTGTCTCAACTAGTTGCATATTTAGATTTTGAGCTTCAGTACTAGCGGACACAATAATAGAATCAAAATAAGTAACAGTATCATCAAAAGAAGTAATTTCAACGTCATAAGTAGATAAAGGAATATTAAAAGATTCAAGAATAGTACGTACCTTAGTAGTCATTGGTGATTTGTATGTGGATTTGGATACGAAGCACCGACCTGAAACAATATCTTTGCAATCATCTTTAAAGTTTGCGAACATTGCTCCATGAGTTGGATGCCTCATTTCTTCATCATCAGATCCTGAAGACCGGATCTGATGTGTTCCAGTTTCTTCCTCATCAGACTCACCCTTTGCAACTAGTGACATTCCTTTCGCCTTCGCACGCACTTCTTTGAGTTTTTCTAAATAGTAAGCTTCATCTTTCGCTTTGTTCTCTTTCTCCTCTTTCTTTCGCAACATGCAATCTGCTGCAAAGTGATTCGCACCATTGCAGTAGTGGCAATATATTCCAGAATCACCTTTCAGTTTCTTCACATCTTTCGCATCTTTTTGCTTTTCATCAACTTTTTCCATTTTCTTCTTCTCCTCACCTCCAACTTTAGCAACTCCACTCTTCGCATCATTTGCCTTTCCTTTTGGATTAAAAGGATTTTTGAAAAATTTCGTAACTCTGTTGTTTGAGTACAATGCTGCAGCTTCATCATCAGAGTTCATTAAAAAACCTTCATTTTCTAAACCATCTGTTTCATTAGTATCAACTTCAGATACCTTTGAAACAAGAGCTAAAGGACCTCCTATACTTTGTTTTGATTCTTCATACATTTCTAAGACTTCACTTTCGTTTGTTTTCAGCTGATTGTAGAGATCATCCAGGCTAGTTGTATCAAAGCTTTGTTGATTCTTTATCATCATACTCACACTTTGCCATTCCTTGCGAAGCCCCATGATGAATGTTAAATTGAACTCCATGAGAGACCTAGTGATTCCATAACTATTGCAGCGATACATAAGCTCATTTAGACAATCATAGTAACTCTCAAGAGTTTCAGCATCCTTTTGTCTGAATTCCTTTAGTTCAACAAGACATTTCTTCACAAAGTTGATCTTCGTTTTTTCGCTACCTTGATACTTCTCTTTCAGAGTATTCCAGATCTCCTTGGTTGTTTTACAACTACGGATGTAATTGTAAACCACAGGAGGTAGAGCACCTCTTAGTTCCCTCATGCACCTCTTTTCATTCTTTTTCAGATGGTTTTGTTGTTCAGCAACTTCAACAGAAGTAGTAGATGGTCCAATTGATTGAACATTAGCAGGAGCTTGAACTGTTCCATTGATACAATTCCAAAGTTCTTCATCAATTCAATTTAAGTAGTCCTCCATTCTGTCAGCCCATTGATCATAGTATTCAGGGATTAATATCGGAATTTTGGTTGAAGAACCAAGCAAATGAGAGAAAGAAGTCATTGTATTCATATTGAAGTTCGCCATTGATGAACACGAGAATTTCATAAAGCTTAAAAAAACTTGATGAATTTGAGAATTGATCAACAAAAATGATCATAAATTGCTAATCGATCACTCGACTAAACAATCCAAAGGCAGAATCGATTCAAATCTGAAGATCAAAAGTGATTTTCAGAACCAAAATGCGCGGAAAATTTTAAGTAAAGTTACTACTCAAAAAACAAATGATTCTAACACGAAAATCAGATCGATGCAGTTTGAATCCTGCTCTGATACCAATTGAAAAGAATTGTTATCGAGATTATGAAAGCAATTATAATTGAATGATTGAAAAGTAAGAACACAACGAGTAAATATTAATCAGATCTTATATTGATGAAGATTGATTACAAAGCTAAAGCAAAAAGAATACTCGAGTGCAAAAGTCCTTTCTACTTCTATCCTCAGTCCCTATTTATAGGAGACCTGAGTGTTCAAAAAGTATACTAAGTCTATTACAATACGCTTCGCATAAAACTGTGACTCAGTAAGATAACTAATATGTGACACACAAAAGAAACAACTACTTCGACTTTTACAATACATAGACTCTACAGACCCTGATGAGCCGAAGCAGCTTCGAGCGAACCGAACCACCGAGACCAAACCCGAGGCTCGCTTTGCATCCGCCTTCGCCTTCGCCTATGCTTCTCGCCTGCCTTCACTCCCGGTTCCTGTCAGCAAGTTCGTCTATGAGGACCTTCATACCGAACCTTCCCTCTTGGTTCTTAAGCACCGAACCTCACAGCTTCGCCCCTATTTCCCGGTTTTCGACTAAATTTAAGCATCAACTTTCCACAGGAAAGTTTAGTTCCATTCACGGACTGTTTTGGACACCTTAAACATTTTTGTTTTAAATAATGTACTAGGTGCAAATAGTTCAAGTTTATACCTTTAAAATGACTACTTGCACATATTCACACGTTTTTTCTACAAGTTATGGTGATTTTTGAAAACCTATCTATCACTGTAGCTATGAATTCTAATCAGTCTGTGAATATGAATGTTTTCACAATAGTTAGAGACTTCTAAAAATCATAATAAAATTTATGAACAAAGTAGACACATTTTCTAAACTCTCATAGTTTACGGATGTAGTTTTCGACTTCGTATGAATTTTCTATGATTTTTCTAAAACGGTGCAGAAAAGGTGAAAACTAGTTAATTAACAGATTACAACATCTAAAACACTTTGTAACATGTTGAGCAAAGTGTTTATCTTTGATAACTTCATATTTTATATGTGTTTTTCTGTTGAGTTATGCTTAGATCACAGAAAGTTATTCACTGTAATGTAAAGGTCCTTTGTAATTTCAAACACACAAGATGAAACGTAATAAGAGTAGTTGTCTTTTGCTAAATTACTACTTACACCGAAAGGGGTTTTACTCTCAATACAAATGGATTTTTCATTTACTACACAATAAACTATAAAAGGTATAGTTTGGGGATTTCACATTTCAAAAATACAAAACAAAAGGGGATTTCACTCCCACCACAGAAAAGGCTTTTACACGCATACTACACGTAAACTCGTTATCGTAAATTGTAAGACACGTCTTCATTGTACTCTTGAAGTATGGGTTAAAATTTCCTGAAATAGTTATAACCAGAGTCTCTTGTAGGGAGAGCATGATAATTGTGTATAGATCTATATTGGGGTTGACAACCCACACCCATGCTGCTAAGACAGTCCGATCGGCTAATCGGGGGTGACAAGTGTCATTTCATTTCTGACGCCTGAAGAACGTCACGACAGACATATCTATTATAGTATGGTTATAGCAACTCACATAGGGAGATAACAACACTTATAGTTTACGGGAATTTCTACTTATAAAAGGGGTTTTATCTATTTAAAACTGCATACATCGTTATAAGTACGAAACATACATACACTTTGTCTTGGGATTTAAGACTACATAACTTTTATTGTGGAAAATAAGGGATTTTCTTGGGTATATATTACATTTACAAACAAAGGATTTCAATCTCTTCATCCAAAAGCTTATGAACTCACCAACTTAATTGTTGACACTTTTTCAAAATTACTTGTATTCTCAGGAAATCATTGAAACATGAACTCAACAGCTTTTGAGGATGGAACGTTAAATCGTCAAACATTTCATTTTTGTCATCATTGTGTAATTGAATTTGAAACATGTAAACTCATTCTATGGTGTAACTTTTTCAATTATATTTATGATAGTTGTGTTTACTTTGAGCACTATTATACTCTTGTTGTGATACTATACATGAAGTCCTCCACCCCTGGATGTTTCCGCCATCCTTGGTTCGGGGGTGTGACAATAGGTTGGTTGTTAGGCTGCAGAAATCAGATTGTTAGTTTAACATGAAAATACATTAGAATTTGTAACTATAGATGATCGTTAATATAAAAAGCATACCACAAACACGTTGATTATTCGACAATGTTTTACTTCTCCACGTCCTCATCCGTGGAAATTCTGTCGGCATGCGTATATAAAACTGGGTTACCTCTGGGAACGTCTCCAAAATCCATATCTATGAAAAAATGTAAGTATCATGCTATTATACTATAAAAGTCATAATACAAACTTATTATATAATACAAACCGAAGTTCAAAGTTTTTATAGTATAAAAAACTAAACAATGATAACTATTTAAATGCATTAGAAAGTAATCTTAAACGGAAGCATAAAACCGGAAACTGTATACTTGTGTACTTTCTTGGATTCGGGATTGGCCTGCTTGAATAGTCTAAACTCTTCTATTTTCTTAAACATTCCACGCATCAAACGCGAAGTATAAGTCCAGAAATACGTACTCCATGCAAACCTGCAATTTTCAATTTATTTATTATAATTATTATTATTGCATTGCATTTATACACAATCTTTAAATGTAATACCTATTCCAATCATCTATATTATCAGCAAGCTTGTATACTGCTGCGGGAATGCCTGTTTTAACGTCCCGTCCGTGGAGACCCTTCAACATAAAAACAAGTTGGATATGCATCACATCATCTTCATCTTGTAGTGCCAAATAATTCGGGGACATAATCAAGTCTTCTAGATCTTTCAGCCGCAAATGTGCATCAGAAATATCTGGGAACAACCGAGCACGAAGATTTGAATTTGACCGACCTTTTTTTTATCATGGAGTAAATCCATATAAGGACCAACTTTTAAACCACAAATGAGAATATATTCAGTTTCACCAAAATCCAACTACATCCCCTCTATATCAAAAAGAAATGTCCCCATTTCAAATATTTGTTGCCACCTTACTTCGTACAACATCATCATATCACAAGTAATGCCACACCCCAAAACTGAGAACGACGGAAACATTCTGGGGTGGAGGACGTCATGTAAAGTATCACAACAATGCAAAGTAGTAAACAAGCAACAACATCATCCATTACATTAATAGTATAATTTTAAATACATGTGTGTTCTTTCATAGTATAAAACAACATAATGAATAATCAAAATAAAAGACGAGTCTTGATTGCTCCGTCTTCACAAAACCTGGTCGTCGTACCTCTCTAATTGTGACCTGAGAATACAAGTTATTTTGAAAGCGAGTATCAGCAATGAAGCTGGTGAATTCATAAGTATTTAAGTGTCTTTGATTTGTAAAACTGTAAAGAAAAGACTTGTAAATGTTTGAAGAAAAGTTTGTATAAGTATGAACACCCTAGAAAATCCCATATTTCCTACTAGTATAAAAAGTAGTCTTCTACCAAGACTCAACTGTTTTGAAAGTAGCCTTCTACCAAGACCCGAATGTTTTGAAAGTAGCCTTCTACCAAGACCCGACTGTTTTGAATACTTGTTTATTGTAAAAACGTGTAATTTTTCCAAGTGTAACTATCATTATCAAAATATAGTTTGTACATTAATGTTTAAGTGAAGCAATCACCAAATAAATGTAAAGGGGTAAATTAATGTAGTATTGTAGTATCGTATAAAGTGACTACTGTTGTATTAATTGCCTTAATTGAGTATTAAGGTATAATGTGATGGCTAGATCTCATACTAAACGCTCCCCTGTTAAGAGATTCTAGGAACCAAACACAACCCCTGCAATGTTTGCAAGCCGTGAACATCCACATTATGATTATATGATCATGTATACCCAATATAACTATCACCTTTTGTTTAAAACAATGTGTTAGTGATTCATTGGTATAGTTAGATCCTATAATTGTTCCATGCTATAGCACCTTGTTATGTTTGTTATGTTATCGTGTATTGTATCTTCCTCCCTGTTTCTCTTTATTGTGTGTTCTCTTATGTTATCATGTATTGTATCTATGAAATAGTATCTATGTAATAATATCTCTTCATATAGTATGTATTGTATTAGTATAGACTCATGAATGAACTGACTCTTGTGCGATTCCTTGTATGTGGAATGGTAAGTAGTATCTCCTAACTATACCTATTATAGTTACTAGTAATGTACGTGTATAACCGAAGTATGCCTTTGCTACCCAAAGGTGCTGAACTAACTGATGAAACTTTTATGTCTATATATGTATACATGATATATAAATAATATTTAGACGACACTCGGACGAATAACCGATGCCCTAAGGCCACATCCCAACGAGGAAAAGGAAATAAAGCGAGTTAGTCGTCCTAAGTCCTTTAAACATTACTTATATAACTATACATCTATAGGCATGCATTTGACAATATAAAAGTATAAAAGAAGTTTTCTAAAACCTTTGAAAAGTTTAATAACTAAGAAATGATGACTTGATGTCAGTTTGTAAAACGATTTGGAAGCAGTTTGTTTGATAAGATAGTTTTAAGTATAAGAAAAACCATTTGTTTGAAGCACATTTGTAACCGAGTTGAAAGGAAACATACAATATGTAAGACAGTTTGATGAAGAGTTCTAACAGGTAAAAACGTTTGAGAAAGTCATTTGAAGTAATATGTTTGGTAAAACAGTTAAAAGTGTAGTAAATCCATTTGTATGCTAGTTATTAACCACATGTGATTGATATAATAACTAGCATGATTCAACTTGTATCCCCCCTATAAAAGCATTTATAAACATTTAAAAATATTTAAAGGTTAATTAAGGGGTATGAACTCACTTGCAGTGAATGGATCGTATGGAAGTGTCGGACAAGTGCTTGGTGTCAAGTGAAGACTTAAACACACACAATGATCTTAATAACATATAAAGGCATATGTATATATACAATTAGTGATTATAACACTAATTAGACAAGTATAAACATCCTTATGTGAGGAAAACACTTTGGTCAAAGTGTTAGGAGGCCATTGGGTTGCAACAAAGGATTGCAAGGCATTGTAAGTGAGCTTATGGTCAGTGGACCATACTTAATGGAGTTTACGGCCAAGGGGAGTTTACTCATGGCTGTAAACTCTCTAATGGGTCTCCATTTGAGGCTTAAAGGCAAGGTGTCTTAAGTGGTTAAGTGCTCCAAGGCTTAAACAAGAGGCTAGGTGAGTTTAAGGTCCAGAAATGACCTCAACTTGAGTTTACGGCTATAAACTCATCGTGTGAAGTACCAATCTGTTGCTTAAGGTTCCTAGTTCAATGGTGGTTGGTTCTAGACTAAGTTCCAAGGCTTGGTAAGGGACTAAGGTGCAATTTGCCCCACTTATAGGGGTTTACGGCCCGATAACATGTCTTGGTCGTAAACTCCTTTGATCTTGAGTTTCTTTGTGAATTCTAAGCTCTAAACATGTTAAACCTAGTGTACAACGAGTTAGAACAAGAGTACTTACGATCTAGGAGCTTGAATGGTCGGTTTTGGCCAAGAACACTAGTGTGTGTTCTTGGTGTTCTTGGTGAAACTTGAAGATCTACACAAATGAAATGATTTCACAGATGAAATCATGTAAGATCACTAGTTCATGTAAGATATCAACTAGTTAGGGCAAGAAACTTACGAGTTTTGAAGATCGGGGATGAAGATCGGGATGATACTTGAGAGGATTTCTGCCAAGGGAAAGAAAGGAATGAACAAATGGCCAAGACTTCATCATATAGGAGGAGTTTACGGCCCACATGGAGTTTACGGCCGTAAACTCCCTTGTGGTGGCCGTGAACTCCTTGTCAAGGGTTTTCAGACTTGTTCTTTGAGCTATAACTTCAGCAGATAAACCCCGACACTTATCCCTTAAGTGTGCAAGGCTTAGAACCCTCGAACAGACTCCAAATTGTGTTAAATGATAGCAAGAATGAGTTTGACTTTCAATGAAGTGTTAGACTGAACAGGATGGAAAATTTCGGGTTGTCACAAGTAAAGGATCACCATGTGGGATATGCATTCTTAAGAATATTCCAAACGACGAAGCTTTGAATAATAGTCATTGTAACTGTGTTAGGCGCGTAAAAGTTGGTCTTTAATGATAGTCCCCACCACGCCTTTCAAAGTTAAATCCGCTTTTTGATTGAGATCTCCGTGCTACACAACACAAAATTTTATTTCATTTAAAACGTTACTAATTGAAAATAAAAAACTGATGGGTTATGGTCATAAGACATCCTATGTGCTCATACAAACCCTAATGCTTGGATCTAGGTTTCTCTATTGTACATGCTTTGAATCCAAGACTATAAACCCTAATTCTAGTATATGAAATCGATATTAACATATGAATGGGTTTAAGAACATACCTTGATTGTTATAGAGTAATAACAATCCTAATTCCTCCTTGAATTGACTTTGGAATGCTTAGAGTCACAAGTGTCACTCCTCTAATGGCCTACAAACACCAAGAGCAAATGGAGAAGGTATAAAGAGAGAGGAAACAGGTTAGAATTCGTCCTTAGGACTTCTTGGGAAGGGATACACGAATTCATGAGCCTTGGGGTCTTTATATAGGTGTAGAGATAGGGTTTCAGTCATTATCCACAAAGCAACCCATAAGATAATCCTTGAATCCTTATCATAGTCGAATTCTAAGGCCTTATCACCTTAAATTCGTTCATCTTAATAATAAGATAATCCTTACCTTATTTTGTAACTATCACATAATTACAAATAAGCCCCTCTAGTTTAATTAATTACACTTGATCACAAAATTAATTCCTAATTAATTATTGACCAATATTAATTAAACAAATATGATTTCTCCTTTAATATATTATTCTTATAACATATTAATAAATCATAATAACCTTTCTCTCTTTATTTATTTCTCCAATCAAGTTGCTTTGGTGAAGGCAACCCAAAAGGACCATGCACCATCGGGTCAAGTACATACCAAAATAGTTATGGACTTAGACACTAATCCAACAAAAACAAGGTTCCAAAATTACTTTTTTAATTCGGTTTATGAAATAAATAGCAACATACTTTATATATATATATATATATATATATATATATATATATATATATATATATATATATATATATATATATAACTATATACATAAAAGAAAAGGGCAGAAAAGCAGAAAAAAAAATTGTGGAAAAACCATTTTTAATGTCATTCCACAGAGGCTAGAGGTCATTCCGCGGAGGCCTCTATGCGGAGTGACCTTCACCTCCGCGGAGACCAAGCTTTCTTCGATTATATCATTCCGCGGAGGTAACACATCACTCCGCGGAGCATCCTCTGACGTAACCCTCCGCATAATGGATCATCCCAAAAAACGAATCATGTGATTTCTAATTCTAAAAAATCTAAATCTATATACATATTCCATGTAATAATTTGGGTTTTCCTCAAATTTGAATCAACTACGACATTAATAATAAGATGAGAATGTGAGAAATACTCGGGAATCGAATCCATCAGCCAAAACATCGGGGAATTTGCCCTTCATCGGTGCCGGATTTGAAGTGGTATATACTCGATTTCGCCGGAATACTTGATTTCGCCGGAATAGGTCGTCATTTGACATCATTTGAGGGGGTATTTCGGCGGATTTGAAATCGTCACCGGAAAACGAAGTCGATCAACACCGATGCAGAGTGACGAAGACAACCCGGGACCAGTGGGGACCAAAAGAGGAGACGTTTTTCTCAAAGAGGATGGGTTGATATTACGAAATTATCCCTCTATGCGGAGGTTTCATGGTTCCGCAGAGGTTTGCAGAGGGTTCTCCGCGTAATGCATATCTATAGCTGGAAAAGTCAATTTTTATAACTAAATTTTGAAATTGCCCCCCTATTTTTTATCTATTGGCGATATTTTGCCTTCTCAAAAACCCATTGAACCGGTTACATTGAACCATTTAATATCCGGTTGAAACGGTGCTACTGGACTTGGATTTCTGATTTCACTCGACCTATTTCAGTTAGCCCATGGACTTTATTCGATCATGTAACCTCCTGATTCAAGATTTCAGCGTTATGCCATTCGGCCATTCCCCACACTGATTTCTCTCAATTCGATTTCTCCAAAAGCTAACAGTCTCCAAAAATCGGTAGTACTCTTCCACGATTTTTCAAAGGTAATCGACTTCAGCTTCATCCTGGTTTTTCTCTATCATTTCGAGGAAGAGATTCTCTGTGGCTAACTTCTCATCTTGTTCTGTTGAACCTATAAAATCAATAACAATCTGAGGAAACGTTTTTTAATCGAGAGACTGTAGTTTTACCAGTTACCGATCCCTTTTTCTCTTCTTCAAATTCTCTGATTCAGTGACTCACTTCAAAGCATAAAGTCTGAAACACAACAGGGAGAGGGAGAGGCAATCAGGCAATGGCAGAAACAATACCCTTCAAAAACCTCCACAGTAGGGAATATCAGGGCCACAAGAAGAAGGTCCAATCCCAATCTCCCTCTTCCTTATCCTCGCTAAACCCTAATTATTTCACCTGCTGTAAACCCTAGCTTTATGCCCATGATTATTGTATCCATCTTAAAAAAAATTAGGGTATAAATTGATTCGATTCATAATTCCGATACAGGTACATTCAGTCGCTTGGAATTGCATTGGCACAAAGCTCGCATCGGGCTCTGTGGATCAAACAGCTCGGGTATGGCATATCGAGCCCCATGGCCACGTAAGTTTCCTTCTTCATTTCGTCTCTTGAGTCTTGTTACTCTTCTCAAACACCCAATTAGTATTATTTACCTACTCTGTTGTGTTGCAGAGCAAGGTTAAGGATCTTGAACTAAAGGGGCATACAGATAGTGTAGATCAGTTATGTTGGGATCCTAAACACGCCGACTTGATTGCCACTGCTTCAGGCGACAAGACTGTTCGTCTATGGGATGTCCGCAGTAAGTTGAAATACAAAATAATTAAAAAATTAAAAAAAAAAATCTTTATTGATCTACATGCGAATAAACAGGTGGAAAATGTTCACAGCAAGCAGAACTCAGTGGGGAGAACATTAACATTACCTATAAACCAGATGGGACTCATGTAGCAGTTGGGAACCGGGTACATTCTCCTTTCCTTTTTTTTTTTTTCATTTACCAAAATTTCCTTTAACAACATTTAGGAAGCTTATGTTAATTCCACTTTATTATATATATATGTTAAATAGGATGATGAACTGACAATACTGGATGTTCGAAAATTCAAACCCATCCATAAACGCAAATTCAACTATGAGGCAAGTATACTCTTATTTGTGGGTTTGAAATTGAAATGGAGTGAAGTTGATTAGATTTGTTGAAATAATAATTAATTTTGTTTTTGTCAGGTAAATGAGATTGCATGGAACATGAGTGGGGACATGTTCTTCTTGACTACTGGAAATGGTGAGAATAGTTGACTTGTTGACTTTATTGTTTTTAATTAGATTTAATTTTGTGTATGGGTGTGGTGATCAGGTACTGTTGAAGTACTGGGATACCCATCGCTTCAAGCGGTTGACACCTTGACAGCTCATACTGCTGGTTGTTATTGCATTGCTATTGACCCCTTGGGAAGGTCTCGTCAATTCTTTCCTATTAGAGCAAATTACTGAAATCGTCCCTATAGTTTGGTCAAAATTACACGTTTGGTCCCTAACTTTTTTTTTTGCACTCGGATCGTCCCTATGGTTTGATTTCGTTGCGTTTTTCGTCCCTATGGTTTGGTCAAAATTGCACGTTTGGTCCCTAATTTTATGTACGTAAGGGACGAAAAACACAATAAAATCAAACCACAAGGATGATCCGAGTGCAAAAGAAAAGTTAGGGACCAAACGTGAAATTTTGACCAAACCATAAGGACGATTTCAGTAATTTACTCTTCCTATTATTATTATTATTTTCTGTTGACTAAAAGGATTTGAATTTGGGTTTGGGTTTGACAGATATTTTGCTGTTGGAAGTGCGGATTCGTTGGTGAGTCTGTGGGATATCTCGGAAATGCTTTGTGTGCGGACATTCACAAAGCTCGAGTGAGTGAGAGTCAGTCAGTCAGTGTGTCTTTTATTTTCTTCTTTTACATGGATGGTGATTATGTTAAGTTATGTGGTTAGGATGAGCAATAATTGTTATATTATTTATTTTTTTTATAAAAAAATGGGTGTCAGATGGCCAGTGCGGACGATAAGCTTCAACCACACGGGGGAATATATCGCTTCCGCTAGTGAAGACTTGTTCATTGACATAGTATGTGGATATCCCCCTCCCTTGTTATATTTATTATGTATGTATGTATGATGTATGAATGGAAACACTATACTACAGTCGAATGTAGAAAGTGGGAGGTCAGTTCACCAAATCCCGTGTCGGGCAGCAATGAACAGCGTGGAGTGGAATCCAAAATACAATTTGCTCGCGTATGCTGGTGATGACAAAAACAAGTATCAGGCGGATGAAGGTAACCTAGTAAACTTGTATTTGTAAAAGTAGTAGTAATAGTAATAGTAATTAATAAAATCTTATGGATGCAGGTGTTTTTCGGATATTTGGCTTTGAGAGCGCATAACTTAACTAATTCCCTCGAATCTAGGGTGTAGTTGGATCTCCTCATCTTCTCTTTTTCAATATTAATAGGAAAGAATGAATGAATGTTTCCAACCTCATATCACATCTGTTTAAAAACGGATATTGTAAGTTGATTTTGGTGGATCATCATCAATCAGGTCCTTTGGTCAAATTTTTATTTTTTTGGTTGCTTGTTAAATGGCTATTGTAGTAGCAATTTTATTTCTATCTTAAGATAATTTCATATATTATTCCCTAAAGCAAAATATCATATTCGATTATTTGTCGTTTTGCTGTTTTGCTAACTTGAACTTTAGCCACTAAACTTGATGATCAAAATTAGTATATCACTGAAAACATAAATCAGAGTAGAATCATGAAGACCGAAGTTACCTTGAACCAGAATCCCTATTCGCAGGTTTGTGAGCTTGAGTTTGAAACTGGAGGACACCTGAACTTGAAGGATTGGATACGTGTGGTGTCAATATAACACCCTACTTGGAGACTCATGGATATCGAACATATTTGCATTGAAATCATGAGTGTTTTTTCATATTTTTTTAGCAACATTGAATTCTACCCCCATGAGTGTATTACAAACTTTGAATAATGGTGTGATGGAGGAATTGCTTGAAAGAAGACGAGATTGGAGAAAAGAATGTTCTGTGTCCAGTTAATTTAAGGATCGGAAAAGAGGGTGATTCGGTTTAAATATAGACATTTTGAACTTTGAAGTAAACTGATTTTGGTATATTGAAACCTGTGGGTAAAAGTAAAGGGGTAGCACTGAAAAAATTCCATGTAATATACAATAAGAAAAAACGATACAAATCGGTATTTCATTAGACATAAAAAAGTTTTAGTTATATTTTAAAGTTCTCCTCTTCGCTCTTTCATTTGCCGAAAATGAGTGCTTCCTTTTTTACACTAAGCACCATTCATAAAATCGTCACCTATTCTATTACGAAAATCAGTTTTCAACAACTTTATTGTAGAAAAACATCGTTCAACGGTTGCGGTTGCGACTAACAAAACCAAAGTTAGTTTTAATAATCTATAAACTAAAGAAAAAGAGAGATGTTTCCCTATTTTCACTTTCCACCAACAAACGAGATAGGTCTGTAATCCCCTTTAAGTTAACAAATTTCTCATCATGAAACAAATAGTGATAATAGATATCAAGTTGACAATTAAGATGCACCCTTTCTGAATGATCAAAATCATTTTTGTGTATTGTTTAGCTTCAAAAACTTTAATTTATCAAAACTAAAAAATGAGTCACAATGACTCAAAGCCGCCATATTTTCTATCAGTTTCGTGCCAATATCACTAAATTGATCCCAAAATTCTTGAATTTGTATATCCAAAATCGTGTTAAAAATCACAACTTCAAAATGATATTTGATTAGTCATATTAGTCTTATGCTTTCGTGGGGTAACAAAATATTCCGACATGTTCATAATTCCAATACTACATTTTTCACAAAAAGCACATACCTTCTTCCAAATTTGTAGAAACCCATTTTTTCTAAAAACTAGCAATGTTTTTGTTGTCCCTTTTTACTAATGAAGTTGCTTCTAAAATACCTTGATCTTTTTCTGAAGATGCTTTGACAATGTATCCATGAGGCCTAGAATTTATCATAAAGTGTAAAAGAATCAGTTTTGAAATATCACAAATACCCTTTACTTGATTACGGTTAGATAAACTAGACCCATCATCTTTGACATATTTAAGTACCTCAACAACTTCTGCAAACAAATTCATCGAACTTACAATTGTTTTATAATGTGAACCTCATCTAGTATCTTCAGCTCGAGCAAGAGAAATCTCTCGATTCAACCCTCTTCCAGTTCCAGTTTCACCAATACCAAATTTCGGCTTCAACTCTAGACCCCTCATCTTTGACATAATTAAGTACCTCAACAACTTCAGCAAATAAATTCATCAAACTTACAATTATTTTATAATGTGAACCCCATCTAGTATCTTCGGTCCGAGCAAGATAAATCTCTCGATTTAGCCCTCTTCCAGTTTCAGTTTCACCAATACCACAATTTGGCTATAACTGTTTTGTTTTTTTTGCATCTCTCGTATCATATATTTTTTCTTACAAGAACCACAAACTACAGTAACTACCAAAGCTAGTTGTTCAAAGAATTCTTCAATGTCATCACGTTTCTTTGCTACCGTCACAACCACTAACTGTATCTGGTGTGAGAAAGAATGTATATAATGTGCGGAACTATTTTCTTTTAATATCAAAGATTTCAAACCGTTGAATGTACAACTCATATTAGTTTCTCCATCATAACCTTGCCCCATCACCTATTTATTTCAAAAAATTAATGAAAGATATAAGACATAAAACAAACACACACACAATAATAATAATAATAATAATAATAATAATAATAATAATAATAATAATAATAATAATAATAATAATTTTATGAATTCTCACCCGAGCCATATTCAAGTTGTTGTCGGTAAATACAAAATCGATGACGACTTTGAGGGTCAAAGAAGATGTATCCAACACGTGAACAAATCCAATAAATCTTCCCTTTACAATCCCAAGTCTATCAACATATCTCAAAATTATAACATTTGTTCTTTTTGGAAACATCACTAGACTCATCAACTAATATACTGAACACATCTTTACTAATTTCATCATAAATGGACTTGATTATCTCTTTAGAAAATCAATTGACAATATCTTTTTGAATCGTCGGAGAAGTCAACTTTTCATTTTTTTGAAGCATTTTCTAACGTAACATTAAAAATCCTCTAATTATCTTCTTTAATCAAAGATAATATTTCAATTAAAAGTCCTTTATTTTTAGAATTTTCCGGCTCATCACGACCACGAAACAGTAATGTATTTTTCAATAAAAATCTGCAAGTACGAATTGTAGCACATAATCGAATTTCATAATTACTTTTCTCAAGTTCCATTTGCTTATGAATGACTTCACTAATAGATTGATTTTTTCTTAATAGCAAATCACACTTTTCTTGTGCCTTTTGTTGATAACTTTGAATATTACCCACATGTTTCCAGAATGATTTTTTTTACTCTAAGTGTCAAAGCCTTCGGTTGTAAATGAATCTCTTCCACCTTGTTCCCCTACCATGTCACTAAACAAGTAGCAACACAAACAATATGTCTTCTTCTTTTTAATCCTATACTCTAACCATGGAAATTCAACAAACCATTCCACAACAAAGCGTCTTACCTTCTTACCAACTAAATTTGATTCGAAATTATTCCCCTTTGGTTGACAAAGGTCCTTTAGTCAAATATTCCCTCCTTATTTCATCTCTTTGATAAGTATGATAAGATGTAATTTTTGGCTTATCCTCTGGGTCATTCAAATCAAAAGTTTTTGGGACTTGTGGTATTTGACTAGGTTCATTAGGTTGTGGTCCTTGTGGAACTTGTGGTCTTTTGTGACAACCCGAAATTTTCTATCCTGTTCAATCAAACACTTCATTGAAAGTCAAACTCATTCCTGCTGTCATTTAGCACAATTTGAAGTCTGTTTGAGTGTTCTGAACCTTGTACACTTAAGGGATAAGTGTCGGGGTTTTTCTGCTGAAGCTATAGCACAAAGAACAAGCCTAAAACACATTGACCATGAGTTCACGGCCACCACAATGGAGTTTACGGCTGTAAACTCAATTTGGGCCGTAAAGTCACCTTATATGATGAAATGTTGGCCATTTGTTCATTCCTTTCCTTTCCTTGGTTGATTCTCTTTCAAATCCTCTTAAGTATCATTCGATTTTCCTTCTTGATCTTCAACTTTGTAAGTGTTTCTTGCCCTAATTAGTTGATATCTTACCTAATCTAGTGATCTTACATGATTCCATCCACAAAAATCATGTTTTCATAGATCTTCAAGTTACACCAAGAACACCAAGAACACACACTAGTGTTCTTGGCCAAAACTGATCATTCAAGCTCCTATATCGTAAGTACTCTTGTTCTAACTCGTTGTACACTAGGTTTAACATGTTTAGGCCTTAGAAACATCAAGAATCAAAGGTTGAATGAGAGTTTATGGCCAAGGATCTCCCAAGGCCGTAAACTCCCTTTAAGGGTGCATTGATGCCCTAATCTCCTTCCTTATGCCTAGAACTTGGATTAGAACCAACCGCCATTGAACTAGGGACCTTAAAACATCAAAAAGACCATGAACCATTAGAGTTTACGGCCGTAAAAACATGGAGAAATGGTCCATGGGCCGTAAACTCCACAAAGGGGTGAAATGATGCCAGAATCACTTCCAAAGGCTTAGACATGAAGTAGGAATGCTTCTTTATGACTTATAGGCTTTAAAACACAAAATGGTAGAAGTACCATGAGTTTACGGGTGTAAAATCATGGGTTTACAACCGTATACTCCAAGGGAGTTGGTCCCAAATCCGTAAACTCATAAAGAGTTTAACCTTGGACCCTAAACCTAAAATCCAAGTCCTACAAACCCTTAGATGCAATCCTTAGGACTTATAGCACTTAAATCAAGTGTTTTACATGTCTTAGGATGTCTTAAGTTGGTTACTTAGTTTTTAAATGACTAATTGGATACGTATATGTGTTATTATATGTTAACTAGGATCCTTGTGTGTGTTCAAGTCTTCACTTGACACTTAGCATCCTCGACTATCCGTTCATCCAAACCACTCACTACAGGTGAGTTCATACCCCTTAATTAACCTTTTAAATGTTTATAAATGCTTTTATGGGGGGGGGGATACAAGTTGAATCATGCTAGTTATTATATCAATCACATGTGATTAATAACTAGCAATCAAATGAATTTACTACACTTTTAGCTGTTTTACTCAGTATACTACTACTAAATGATTTTCTCAAATGTTTTTACATGTTAAACTCTTTATCAAATTGTCTTACATACTGTATCTTTTCTTTCAAACTCTGTTACAAATGTGTTTCACACAAAGGTTTTAAGGTATTTCAAACTATGTTTCAAACAAAAGGATTTCTTATACTTTAAACTGTTTATGTCAACAAACTGCTTTCAAATCGTTTTATAAATTGAAACTAAGCAATCAATTCTTATTATTAAACTCTTCAATGTTTTACAAAACTCATTTTATACTTTATTATTGTCAAATGCATGCCTATATATGTATAGTTATGTAAGTAATATTTAAAGGACTTAGGACTGCTAACCCGCTTTAATTCCTTTTTCTTGTTTGGATGTGGCCTTAGGGTATCGGTTATTTGTCCGAAGGTCGTCTAAATATTAGTTACATATTA